GTCTCCCTCCTGGGAGGCAGAGAAGACAGAGCAGGTCAGGTTCAGGTTTACAGATTAACAGGAACAAACTCACAGGTTTGCAGGTTCAGACAGGCTGGGTTTAACAGGCAGAGTGGCTCAGGTTTGCTTCCATAGCAAGGACAACAATCCGGCTCAGAGGGGAGCTTTCACTCAGCTTATATAGTGAGAGATCTTAATCAGCAGATGGGGATCAGCTGCGTCTAATGAGCACCAACTCTCGAAGATCCACATCGCGCTCTGGAGGGCAGACCACTGGATCCCAACAGACAACAGAAGCCCTCAGAAAGGGATCCACATCGCCCTCTGGAGGGCAGACCTCTGGATCCCAACAATTTTAGCCTTTTTAAATCTTTTCCTTGAAAAAAAAATGAATGCCATAGATAGTTTTCTCTCCAGTACAGACACACCTGACTCCTGGTAACTTATCTGAACCTCTCCTGAAACTGATCTCAGTAGTAATGAGTAAATACCATGATAAATCTTTTGGAGTCAAATTAATTTGGATCAGTTCTAATCAAAATTTCAATTGCATAAATTATGTTATCCTCACATAATTATGGTTTATTTTTCCCCTTGTATTCTATTACTTGATTTGTCCTTTTTTTTATTATCACTTACATAAAACAATATATTTTTTATAATCAAATGGGTGGAACTGTGATGGGAAGGAGATCTGCTTACTATAGAATCCCTTCATAATATTTTATTTTATCTTTAAAAGTATTCACTCAGATGACACAACTCCAAGGCTACATGGAAATGATTCATTGTTTATCCTATTAATTAGTGTTTTGGATAGAAGAAAGATAATAAATTGCCAACAGAGTGAATTACCATGTTTCTGCTTTAACTGGATTACATGGTTGAATGCTTCACTATGACATTGATGAGCAATTTCCACCCACAACTTTACTCAATAGATCAATATTTCCCAAGTTTTACTGACATGAAATTATTCTCTTACTAAAAATGATCTCTTTAATTTTGTTTGACCACATAATTAAAGTAATACATACACTTACCAGAAGCAGTCATTTTGTTGTCCATACTTTTGCTTTACTGGGTACACAGCTGTAAACTGAT